CATTAAACCTACCTGAGGTGTAACACATGGCCAAAGAGCAGCTGTACAGCTGTGCTTTCCCATACCACTTCTTTCTCCACCATCTAGTAAGAAGTAGCCTGTGATTTGGCCTTATTTTGAGCACTAATCCTTGTGATATGCTATACAGAAAAAAATGTTAGTTGTTGCAGGACTACCTTGGTATTTTTTGTCAGGTATTACTCTCACCTGAAAGTAGGAGAGAAGGGCAAAGTTTACACCTACTGCTGTGCAGGGCACAGGCAAACTGTGACACTGCCCCATCAAAATCAGATGAAAGTAGACTTCCAAAAACCAGAAGCAACATAATTCTGCTGATATGACACCAATTTTTTCTCTCCTAATCAGTCCCAGTACTGAAGAGTATCATTAAAACAGAGCTGGACAAGTAAATCCAAAAAAGACAGGCCTACAATAGATGTGAAAGATCAGTTCTGAAGCAGTCTAGAAATATAAGAATGATGCACAAGACAGTGAGAAACAGGAGAAGAGGGCCAGCATCTTATCACCCAACAGCCATCCATGGCCGATAGCAACAAATACTGTTGCCACTTCACAGGTCAAGTTTAGCAGTTTGGCAGACAGGGGAATCATAGTGTTAGCGCCAGTTTAGATGCAGCATAAATGTCAGTCTTACCTTTTAGCAACATCCCAAGCATGTATCATCTTTTAGAAGATGCTGCACATAAAAGGTATTTCCACCTACTCAATACAGCTCCAGAGGAAACAGACCACCTATGAGAAGGTGCAGAGATCAGCAAGGAAAAGATTAGCATGAGTTTTGAGAAAGGATGTGGAAGTGGAAATAGGCTTCTTGTATTTAGCAAGGGCAGCTGCTCCAATCAGTGAACATGGCACCAAAGAGCAAAAATACAAGAAGACAATTAAGCAGTTTAGGAGGCAGTCTGCTAATCACTGCATTGATTCAAGTGTGTGCTTATGCTACAGGATCCACTGCACTTAGACACTTCTACTGTTTTCAGTGGGATTTATTTCAGGCCAAAGATTTAGTCAGTTACAAGAACTGCTAACTCCATATTGTGTAGGCTATCACTACTACTACTGTCACAAGTGCTTAACTCACATCTCATCTGAAACTCCAAGTACTGAAAAACTTCATGAGCTACTTCTTGCTACCAAAACAACTTTGTTTTTTTACTAACTTGATTATATTGAGCTTGCTAGACCATTCCCCCCCTCCAAGCTTAATAAGACAAACACACACCTGAACACACCTTACTAGACTGTGGTCTTAATTGTTCAATTCTCATGAACATCACATTATGTTGCTGAAAGGCAGTAAAGCATGAGAGTTGCACTGCAACATACTTAGAAGGGAGAAGCAGCACAGCAGGAAGAAGCTGCTAAGTTAAATTATAAAACACTGTTAAGACAATTCTAATCCCATGTGTTAAAAAGCTCAGGATCAGGTCAGGCTTACTGCTGCAGACAAGCAGCTTGTGTGCTTCAAGCAGCATCCATGTGTTCCATCACTTCAGCTGTGCAGCTAGGGTGAAGTAAACATATTGGTAGCTGTTTAAGCTGGAAATCCAAGTGCTGTCAAGCAACACAAAGAACAGATCTAGCCACCCACTTAAACAAACCTTTCTCCCCAGATCACCTGGTGTTGCTAGTATTAACAGCTTCACTGGCTGAAGTAACAGTAAAAATAGTAACTGCTGAAAAGAAACGACTAGACTCCACAGATAGCATTATCAGCATTTGACAGAGTAGTAGAACATGAAAGTGTCAATGTGTATTCAGTCCTACAGAACTTCTATCAAGCTTATCACCAGGGTACCAAAAATTATTTCTTAGTTCTGTATTTCCTCTGCTGCAAGATCTTACTGATACAGCTGAATTTTGGTAGACTCTGCATTACAGAAGACAAGTCACATTAGATTAAGTAGGGAGATAGAATATCCTAAATATAGATATTTCAGAAAGTTAAGTACACAGAAGAAACCTCTTGGGAGCAGTCAGCTGTATATAAAAAGCTGTATATAAAAGTGTGATATTTTGGTTGCCAAAAAGCAGCAGAGTTGACTTATATCCAGTTGCAAGTCTGGTAACCAAACAGGTAGTCAAGGAGTCCAGGAAAAAGAAGCTGGAATGAAACTAAGTCATCCACTCTCCCCAAAAAGCCCTGGCAGATACAAGCATATTAGAATTGCTAAATTACAGTGCTATCAACATTCTTTTCTAACACAATCCAAAGCTTATTCTTGCAATAAGAAAAAGATTTCCTGATGTATAAATCATATTCCACTTGCTGCAACTTATGCACATCATTTTTTTTCTCTCAATGCTCACAGAAAATATATTCTTCAAATACGAGAAAGATTTCCCCAAAGAGCAAAAGAAATACTTAATATTCCCTCTGCTAGAATGCTGACCTTAACAAGTAGTACATGTAGAATCTCTGCCTAAAGAAAAAGGCAGTTGATCAGTGATGCCAAAGTTGAAAGAGAAACTAATTCACGATTAAAGTGTTATTGAGACTAGTGCTCAAACTTAAAGTGTAAACTAGCCAGGCAACACAGGAAAAGGGGCAGTGAGAAAGAGCAAGGTTCATAAAACAGACCAGAGATACTGAGCAAGTCAAATTAATGCTTGCAGAGTCTACACTGCAAACTACAGCACTACTGGGCAAACCAAGCTAGTTGGTACTAGAAGTACCGTAGTACTCCTGGAATTAATTAAGCACAGGCTGATTTCTTTTTCTCACTGATTTATTTTCTTTTTCTACTTCAGTAGCCCCTATTAAACTGCACACTGCCATGGCTCTGCTACCTGTGATACTTGAGCTTCTCTTGAACTAGCTAGTGGAGGGAACTTTATACTGCAGTGCACATTAAAGCCCTATGCTAAATGGGGTTCAATAGTCTGGAAAATACTGCTTTGAATGTTTTCAGGGGCCCAAGTTTCATTATGGTATAACTTAAGAGGAAGGAATCCAAATAGAATTAACTTAAAAGCAGAGAACTTGCTTATCAGCATATTACTTAATAGATATGGTCATGCTGTTCAGACTTTTCCACTGTTCTTTAATACTAATGTGGTTCCTTGCTCAAGAGCAAAAAACCACTCAACTTAAAAACCAGAATCTCATTGCAATGCAACCCTTCTGACTCAGGTGAAGAAAAAGCCAGGAGGCAAAAGTTGCTTAGACTGTTGGGCAATCAGTGAAGCAGAAATACATACGGCTTCACCAGCTCACTAAAAGAGAAACAGTTTGTAGTAGCACTCTCACCCACAGGACAGAAATCTTGTTTTCTGACATTTTTCTTAGCACATGAATAGTTCACAGAGTTTTATTAACAGCAGCAGGCAGCCTGGCTCCAGCCTATGTGGGAATTCAGCCAGGAGACAAGTCAGGAAACTCATCTTGGACACAAAACTTGTGAAAATGTGCATTCTTCAGTTCTAGGAGAAATGAAGGGTCTCCAGCTAAGAGCAAGAAATATTCCTCACACAGCTCAGCATATCAAAACACATTTTAATATCAGTGTTTTAATAAGTTTACAGTGGAGTAAGTCCTTTGTATATTAGAGATTTGCCTCTATATATAGAGGCAAAGTTAAATGCCAAACAAACCACAACTTCTATTAAAATAGCTTCCATGAACAGCACCTCCATAGATGGGTGCAAAATACAGCTGCATTTTTAAATCTATGTGTAATAGTAAAAGTAACAGCATCCTCTTCACAAGCAGAACCAGTTTTGCTTTCATTGTTAAAAGCTTTTCACAGGACATAGATATCTGAACTACAGCCACATCAGCCCCAAATTTGCCATTTGCCTTTAATATAAAGCTGTCTACTTTTTGACAGGACTCAAGATTAAGAAATTCTTTAGTTATACTAGGACTGAAGACTGAATTTTGGAATCCTGTGATGTCAGTCTGCAGTTCTGGAATTCTGAGCAAAACAGATTTATAGCCAATCCAAGATTTAATACTATGGCAATACTCAATATTAACCAAGCTAAACTACACGGAATTGGTATAAAGTAGCCTTATATCTAGCAAGAGCCAACTACTTTTTGAAGCATCCGTAGCTTTGTTTTGTCTGACAATTTTGGTTTAAACGCTCACCTGTTCTGATTCTTACAAGTCAAGGTTGTGATCTTATTAGCCTGGGATCTTACCAAGCATATCTACAATATGCAATACAACATGATACAAATAATCCTTAAATTTGTCAACTTTTCTGATAGTCAGTTCTGCTAGCAGGCTTGTGACCACATCCAGGAAATGTAATGCCAGAGTCCCAGGAGGCCTTTCAGGTTAATAAACCACATAACCACACTAAGAATGAAAATCTGAGAAGCAAAGGCATATAAATCTGAAACCCACTTTTAGAAATTAATATGAAATTTCAAAAGTACACTTATACAGCAGTGTAACAACTCTGAGGAACTTAAAATGCCTCACAAGATATACTGGCCTTAATTCTAATACACATAGTCTGTTATCTTTTCCTGAGCCATGTTTGGGCATTTGACAGTATTAGGTTGAATTCAGGTTGGCTGAGCATGTCTACTTTGTGTGATAAAGCACTTAAGCAACCAGTAGAAATTCTGAACATGACTGGCTTCTGCAAAAGAGGCATCTGAAACCATGGAAAGCAACACAGTGACTAAGCATCTTAATTACTTAAAACACATCAATGGATAATTAATATACAGCAGTTATAGTACAGCTACTCATCCCCCACTATTGAGAGGCAACAGATTCTTCCTTAATTGTATTCACACATTACCTTTCCACCAACTTCAACTGCATTTGTTGCGCTGCATTTCTCAAATAAAAGAACAAATACAATACAACAAAGCTTCCACCAAACCTTAAATACAGATCTATTTAAATGAAGCCACTTAAAATTTGTGCTTTCATACCAGAGCTTATGCTTCTAGCACACCAGAATTCCATTTGAACAAACACACTGGAATCTTAAACAGAAAACAAGACATGTTTTTATGGAGGATATAGAGATTTATTTAATCAGGTTTACTATTTACAGTTGAGATCACTTTCACATACTACTTTGCTACTCTACATGGCTACATTGTTTCCAAACCAATTTAAGATCTACAATCTAACAGTTCACTCAACACATAAAACCGCTCTTTTTAATATTTAATTATAGAACAGTAGTGCATACATTATACTCCTGAAAAGCCAGCTTGTATTTTAAACCACTAAAGTTTGAAAAGATTTCACACCTCTGAAGGTCAAAACTGCAGGTCAAATGATCCTAAAATTTTAGTCTTTTTTACAATTTTATATATATAAAGTGTACTGGACTTCACTTAAGGAGTTTTTTAAAAGTGACACTGGTGAGGGGCAAGATTAAAATATTTTTCTCAATTAAATACAGCTGGCTTCCTTAGTACAACTTTGGCCAAAAAAAGTTTTATGTAGTGAAAGTTTAAAACATCCTCTCTATATGCAAGAATCAGCCAGTTAATGCTCAACGTTCATCTAACCAAAGTAGGCACATATCCTTTGACTTTGATATCAACCAAATTACACTCACCTTGCAAGTGTTTCTGAAATTATAGTTTACTAATATACTAAAACATTTAGATCCATGGCTAAAACAGTGAGAGTCACAGGTAATTATATAGGGGCATGTAAAGCTGAGATGTTTTGCCCATCACCAGTGTACAGGACAGTTCTCTGTTAAAGGTGTGCTTTGACTAAGCTTAGGGCAAGAAAGCTATCGCAGTAGACCTGGCCCATTCACCTTGCACGAAAGGGAGGTAAGATTGAACTGCAGGTTCACATTCTCTTCTAGGCATAGGTTCCACCCGTGATGAGAAGCTCATAGGCAGGATCCCGACTCCTCCTACATAGCACTATACAGGCACACAACATGCCCAGAAGCTATGGAGAAAAATAAAAAGAAAACAAGCTGAGTGAAAGAAAGATACTTCAAGAGATTTCAGCTCAGCACAGAAATTGGCAGCATGCTTCACAAGACTGTAATTGTCCCTAAGGGGAACGGCAACAAATGTTCTTGAAAAAGCTTCATTTCTTGCTGCAAAAAGCAAGGGCCACAAACTCCAGCCTTATTTTCTTGCAAGACAGTCTTGGAATATTATACAGAAGTTTTTGTTCAGCCATTTGTATGCTGCTTCAATAGGTTAGATGAAAGAAATTATTAATTTTTTTAATAAAGGTGCGATTATTAGACACTCCATCTGGTATAAAAAAATCAAAATGAAATTCAAGTGCATTAACCTCCAATCACTATGATGAGAAAGAGCAAAACTGAAGAGTTTTATGAACCTCCTTCACTGCTGAAATCTCTTTCAAATGCTCAGTCTCCGTCAAGATGCCACAGTAGAAAATTTAAGTCCAACATGAATTATTTAAACATTTTCCTCCTGCTAGAGTTCACAGTACCATGACTGTGCTGGCACGTTTGCCAGGAATTTAGGGTAAGATAACTCCATATGCATTTACAAGACTTAGATGAACATAATCAGGGATGTAGGGCATGTTATTTTACATTTATTGAAGGTAGAATAAGACTACATACTAAAAAAAAAAAATCAGGTATAGTGTTGTGTTCTATGGTCTGCAGTAATTGTCAACAGCTTCTAGTAAATTAAGAGATTGTATTGATTGGGTCACATGCAGAGAAGTTTATTCACAGATGCAAGTATTTAATGAGGCTCCTGTCATAGTTCTGGATTATAAAGCATCATCCAGAAGGCAGGAGTTTCTAAAACACAAAAAAACAACCCACCCCAAAAAACCCTTAACAGAAAGCAAAAAACAATGAAATGAGTGAGCAGACAACCAAGCATGAAGCTTCCTCATTGATACAGCAAGAACCCAGGGAAAATGCAGCACTGGGACAAAAGCAGAATTAACTACTTTTTAAATAGTTTCATGCAGACATCACATGCATAGCAAGTTTTAAAACAAATGATGGTACATGCAAAATAGTACTTAGGTTTCCTGAAAGACTGAAGAGAGAATGTTACAAAAATCCTAATGCTAACCAAGCAGTGATTAAAAAGAAGTATGATGAAATTCTAGAGTGAGCTTTTAATTTCCTGGAAAGGAATAAGCTCTGAAGTTAATATATTCTTTGTCTGGAGTGCATGGTCTGCTTTGGATCCATAGCAGAAACCAGCTCAGGTTCAAAAGAGCATGTGGAGAATAACCTGGAGCATGGCACTTCAGCCTGTTGGTAAAAACAGCACCTTTCCTCACTTTGCATCAGTGCTTGCGTTGTCCCAGTTCAGAGATTAACGCTCAAGTATGTGTCACCATGGAATGGGTTGGGATGGAAGGGATCTTTAAAGGTCATGCAATGATCAGGGACATCTTGAACTAGATCAGGTTCCTCAGGTTGTTATGGCAGAGTAAGAGAAAACATAGTTACATGAGAGAATGACTCTTCATGGGCACAGTACTTTGAAATGAGGAGGTAATGTCCAGAATTAGAAAAAAACCTTTAAGTTAAGACTTGTGAGATAGAGTTTATAGTAGTTGCCAGAAGCTACAGAGCTCTGAAGAAGGCTTGCAGCCTGCAAGTATGAATATTTAAGCCTTTTCCCCATTCAAAACAAGGATAGAATGAAGACTGCTGCAGAGGAACACCTCCTTCAGTATTTTGCTGTAATTCATTCCAGTAATGTATAGCAAATAAAGACAAGTTATCCACATTTGCAGTTAGTCACACAAAGATAATCCTGTTCAATTCCCAGACTTGTCATGGTTGGAAAAGATCTCCAAGGTCACCAAGTCCAACTATATCCAATTTATAAGTTTGATTTATAAAGAGTTATGTAAAATTTGAAACAATCAGGTATTATAATAAAACAATGTAATCAACCTTTGAGTTACTGTTTAAACAATTTATATCCTTTAGAAGGCAACTGAGCAAATTCCTAGAATTTACTGTAAATGCAGAAGTAACTCCTGTATTTAACCTTTCTCTACAGAAATGGTTATGTAATTAAAAAAAATTCCAACACCTCTAAAACCTTCTATAAGACATTGATTGTTTCTCTTCAGCTGCCACTTAAAGTGAACAAAAATATTTCAGAAATCTATGTTGAGGAAGGATTTATGCACCTTCCTCTTCTTAATCTTTCAGAAAAGTTTAAACAGCTCCCACAGTCAGGCAGCTTAGGTTTATTTACAATTTGCCTGCTAACACTGATTATATCCAATCTGCCATCAAACCAATTTGATTTTTTTTGGTACAAAAAAGCTTAATGACTGTATGCACACACACCAAGCTCAGTATCTTGTAAATGATCACTACCTACAAAAGCCATCTCTAAGAAGGAAATCTGCAGCTAATCCAGCAGCACTTCCACTGCATTGCCTTTGCTCTCTTCAGTTTGCCTGTATTAACAGCTCATGTGGTTGAGACCAGGAAATTATTGCACACTCTAAGATCCCCATGGTACCTGAAACATGAACTTACCAAGAAGTTCTTCTGTGCAGAAAAGACTTAAGTTTCCCAGAAATTCCAAGCCTTTTAAAAATTCTCCTCAGTATTTTCATTTTAAAGAAAGTACTAAAGGCTAAATTTACTGAATGTAAGCTTCGGAAGTAATGAACGTTGGACAACCTTATTGCATAACAAGTTGTAACAAACAGTTCAGAGTGGATTCTATGCAGTAAGTATGGGAACAGTAATAAAATTCACCAGAAGAAAAACATTTGCTCCTTTACGTTTACAGGACATGACCCAGGTTACAGGCCATTTGCTGAACTCTACATTCTTACCTCCATTTCAACTCATCCACATACTATTTTGAAGAGAATCAGGCTAAGGACACACTTAAATTCTGTATTATGAGTAAGAGGATGTCACAACTCATGCTTTAAGTTACAGAAGATTTAAAATGATTTGAATGCTGTTTAGTATCAACATGACTTAAACTAATATCTCTTGAAAACATGTGACTTTACAACCATTTGAACTGTGGAGCAAAGATACAAGAACATAACCTCTGATAGGCTTAAAATGATTACCACTTGATGAACATGACTAGAGAGAAATTTCAAAGGTGTTAACCAACTCCCTGTATTCTGTATTTATCTTCATTCTACTAATTTTTCTGAACAGGTAGCATGTAGCTTCTTTTAACTTTAAGCAAAAGAATTTCAAAACACTATACTGCAGCACTAGCAAAAAAAACCCCTGGCATTTGTATTTTCTTGACAAACTGTTCATACAGTACATACCTTCCACCAATAGCTCAGTTACTGGCATGTGGAGACAAATCAAGACTCTCTACTGGGGGGCTACAACTAACATGCTTGCCTAGAACTGACAAGTCAGGAGTAACAGAATGGTGGTGTAAGCAGCCACATTTCCATTGCAACCATGCTTGTGAAATTCTGGCCTAATCCCAGAGACTACAACTGTGCTGCATTTTGGGGTGGATCTGTTAATCAACCTGCACATTCCAAAACTAAGAATAATGCCTCCTCTCGGGATTCAGCTCAATTTGTTTCATAATACTTTTTTTCCCCTACATAAAAAACCTGTCACAGTAACCATGATTGTAGTAAATACATTAATTTGCATTACACAAATACATTTCAGTGTTCAAACAAACACAATATTCCTTTAACAGTTTCAAGTTTTAAGAATGGCAATCAAAAAACCTAACAACTTCCTTCAAAAGACTGAGCACAGATGTCACCAAAGTTAAGGTTCCATAGTTGAAGTCATCTGGTTCTGGACAGTTAAACAATATTACTGTATAGAGTGTTACCTACAAATACATCCTTCTAGCACCGAGATGAAATTTTAACCATATTTTCACAAGACTGTTTACAAATTATTATTTACCTTCAAAGATACAATCCAATTCAAGAGCTGTTTTTGAAAACAAAAATGCCTAAACTACCTAGATCAATAGGTACAATGTTTTCTGAATTCAAATGCTATTTAATTTCAAAGTTACTTTGTGCCCTTGATTTCCAGTCTCTTGGGACTCAGCATATATAACACATTTGAGGCCAAAACACTGGCACAGTCTGATAATAATGTGATTAATATACTAAGCCTGTCAAACTGATCAGCATTCAACATTCCAATTTCACAGATACATTCAGAAGACTACTCTAGTCTTCTTTAAAAAACAGAAAACAACAAACGACTAAATACTAAGATACAAATAATTCTATTTCTTCAGTTACTTTTCAGGACTAGGGTAACTGTAATAATTAAAGTTCACCTGGGAGACAGCCTGTGCTTAATTTATGTAGGCAGGGTCTCCAGCTTAGAACCTCTTTTTTGCTTAAGTCCAGAAACCACAAATTATTCAAGACACAGTGCAAAGCTCAGTTGAAAAAGAACAGAGCATGCTATCAAAAACCCTGGTGACTCTCCTGGGTGGTCTTGATATTATCTGCATGCCACAAAGCACAGTTGAGTTGATGTACCTCCAAAATGGCATAAGATTGTATATGAAATATTATGCAAATTATTCAAGTGTTAAATGCCATCAGAGCACATTCATGATACTTAGCACCTAAATGACTAGTTTTCAAGAAAATTTACCATTTACATTCTAGCAGATGATTGCAGGTAACATCAACTGTTCAGCTATCTTCAAATCTAACAATATAACTTCATGTAACAATAGTACTTAGACCATACATGACTGAAGTTCTGTGTTAAGTGTTTAGAACCTTTCAACTTATAAATCCCCCAAAGGAGGGATTAAAGGTGTCATCATCCTGTACTTACCTGTAACAGCCGGGACAGCAGTTCAGAATTTCATTTGAGAGAACATTTACAACTAAAGAACATTCTCTTACCTGAATAGCAGCAAAGGCTAGTGCTGCCCAGATGACATACATCATGATATCTTGAAGCTTCTTTACAACTAGAGCCTCACACCCCTGAAACAAACAGACTTCTTATATATCTCACAACCACACACACAAAAAAACAACTTCAAAAGATCCAACCACACACACAAAAAAACAACTTCAAAAGCATCAAAGATAAATCAAACACCAAACCAGTCATTACTTAGTATATCACAGATGAAAAAAGGAGTTTCTCTAGAAACTATGTTTATTTGCTGTTAAAGCAAATATACCCAAGACTTCATGCTCCCACTGATAAGATTTTCCACAAAAATACATGGCTACATAAGTTCATAAGACTTTGGCTGTCTTACCTCAGAATAAAGGTCCATCGGGTGGGTTAAGCTGCCAGTACAATTGCTGAGGGCTGCTTTGCAACAGCTGAGCGGCACACTGTTGTTTTTAGTTTGTTTGAACCAGACAGTATTTTCCCAGTCTGAGTAGTTATGGATCCCGCAGCAGCGCAGCTGAAAAAAACATGCAGGTATCAAGAAATGGGATGAAACAGCAATTCTACTTGCAATACCAAGAATACAGGCATATTAAGATTAGGCTACTTTGATTACTTGAGTAACACATTATTTTATGGTTACTAAAACAAATCCTACATCAAGTGTATTGTAAAGGGGCCTAGAACCTTAAATAATTTAAGATACTCCTTACAAAATATAGACTTGAAATTCTAGTTCTTGGGGAATGTTTGACTACACACTTTTCACTCATGCCTCCCAGACAAGACAAAAGCTTTATTTTTCACTTGAAACAGCTCTATCCTTAAGCTTACAACAGATGCTAAAAAAACCACTTTGCTTTCTGGGCATAGGTCTGGCACGAACTATCGTTTGCTCTTCTCGCAGAACTGCAGCGCAGAATTAAAGGTCATTTTATACAGTCACATGCCTATTTGGATACCTAAAAAGCCTTTAGAAATGAATCAATTAAAAATAAATACAGTGCCATTCTGCTGAGAGTCCCTACTCTATTGCAGACCTCGGGAATTATCTTGGGTAAAGTGCAGCCTCCACCAAACGTACTCCCCTAAGTGTCAGTTTACCAGCTTCTTGTCTGTCTTCCCTTTCAGGAGGGATTTTAAGGAAGATATTAATTAGCAGTATGATTAACTTGAATGTATTAGACATTTAATATACAAATATTAACCAACTTTTTAGATGGATGCAATTTTAAGAACACTGAAAGCTCCTGAACCTTCCCTAAGTGATTGGTACTTTTAGTCTTGAATCCAGAAGCTTGTGACACCAGCTTTCAGCTATTATCAGGAACACTTCACTCCTCAGCATGTTCTAGCTAAATCTGTACAGATGTTTCTGCAATGTTCCATTACAGAAAAATACATAAGGAAGAAATTTTTGAGTGTGAGGGTGGTGAGACACTGGAACAGATTGCTCAAGGACGTTGTGGCTGCCCCATCCCTGGAAGTGTTGAAGGCCAGGTTGGATGGGGCTCTGAGCAACCTGGTCTGGTGGAAGATGCCCCTGCCCAGGCAGGAGGGTTGGATCTAGATGATCTTTAAGGTTCCTTCCAACCCAAACCAGTCTGGGATTCTATGGTAAGTACTAGATATCTGAATTCCAACATAGACAGGCAATTACATAAAATGCATCTCACCATCAGCGTCATAATTCTACTAATTCTTATCAAGTTACACTCTTTATGGACCAATCAGCTGTTTCTTAGATTTGTTAGGATGGAGGAAGATGTGCAACACACGCAACACAGCACTTGTGTTTTAAGGTCAGGAAGGACAGAAAAGTTCTGATATGTCTTGCAGTCTTACCTGCCTCTGTACATAGTCAATAGCACGACTGGCTGCATCAGGATTTGTTCCGTTATATCCATTGTACACTTTCCGAATGCTGTGATCAACTTCATCTTCCACCTGGGAATTATTAAGAAAGCATCCACATTAGCACAGCAACAGAAGTAGTACAGGTCTAAATAAAACTTTTATTTCTCATTACAGAAATTCAGGAAACCAAATTAACCCCCAGCCACCTAAAATTAGCATACTTTGGTGGTACAATTTCTAAAAATGCTAACTTGACCCTTGCAGAGATGTTGCTAGCTTGCAGGTACTGGACAGGCAGTTACCTTCCATAAGACGTTAGACAAGGTAACTTTGCAATGTCTCTCAAAAATAAAATTGCTTGTACTATGACACTATGTCAGAACTCACTTAACATGAAGTTATGAGCTCTCCATAAGCACAGGCATTCACCTTTCTACTTCCACCTATTCCTTCAGAGTTCCAAACCAAAACCAGTTTAACCATCCGGGCTAACTCATCCCACTTGGAACCACAGAAGTATGAGTAGGTCATACTACCTGCTCCTCCCATTCCAGTGAAGCACAGGTAAATTTTCACCCTACAGCGAGCAAGCTCTTTGTTCAGTCCCAGTTCCCCATCCCACTTTCTAAGAAACCTTGATCCAGTACATTGTACATAGCAACAGTTACTGGAATAGCTCCTGAAATGACTGCAGATGAGTCAAGCTGCTAAAGATGCTGTCAAGTACATGTGCTAGAAATGGATGCCACCCAAGAATCATCATTTGTCCCCCAAAAGGCATCTTATAAAGCCTATTTTGGAGAAATTCTTACTCAAAGCTTTTAATACATTTCACTGTAAACTAAAAATCCACAGAAAATTTAGTGTAGCTACACATTTGTACAATAGCAAGATTAGCTCTGAATTCTTTTTTTTTTTCTATCACATTCAACAGAAACTATGTGCAAGGACTAATCTTGGGGCTGAGAATTAACTAAGCATGCATATCCTTAGATTTGCAAGTTACAGTAGGAAGACCTTGCCAACACAACTCTTAAATGCTTTAATGGAAGAATTTTCTGCAACAATTGCACAAGACTCATTCTCCCCCACCCAGGAATGCTAGTTCTCTTCACAAATAAATCCATACCAAACAGATATGCATAAATAAATTTAGCCTGCACAGACAACTGTTTCAGACTAGCTGGAAATCAGTTGTTTGATAATTTGACCAATGTGATTTACAACTCTGCTGCATATAACAAAACTCTTACTGTCAGTAACTGTTCAATCTGTTATACAGGTTTTTAAATAATTTAATGCAGTGCTTGCTTGTATACAATTTAGTTTATGGTTCAATTAGAGCAACATTACCATTGAAAGCCATGCAAATTACATACAACTAACTAACATACTACTAGCTAACAACTTGCTAGATTTAGCTAACCAGCAAGTTTTATGAAGACAGTGAACTACTCCACACGGGGGGAAAAAAAACCACCAGGTAAATCCTCAACCAACAGCCTGTTTAATCTCTACTGCCTTTCACAAAAAAATCTTACTTTCACTGATAAGGAGCATTACTAGCAGATTTTACAGCAGGTCAGCCTGTTGCAACATGACCTAGTCATGCTTCATGTTGTTCTCAAGGAGTAGGAGTCACTCAGATCCACATGTGCAGGCTTACAGAGGCATGTCAGAAAATTAAGTGGTTTTAAGATCTTAAAAGGGCCCAGTGCCACTTTGAGACATTATACTCAGCCTTACTTGGTACCAATAGCTGTGATGAACAACTGCCAGGACTTCAATCTTTCCTTTTATTTTTAAGTTGTGTTTAGGAGTTTATATAATTAACCCTGAAGTGATTCTAACATGATTTGGTGCCTTCAAAACTAAAAGACAACAAAAACCCCACAGATCTATACATGCCATGTCATAAACAACAGAACCAAAATAGCAAGCAAGAGAGCTGCCTTATTTATTCTGGCAAAAATAAATCAAAAAACCTAAGCAGATTTCACCTCCCAGTTCACTGGTGATAAATTTAAGCTCCTTCTGGCACTCCTGTTGCACTTGAAAACAGTAGTAGTTTAAGATGCTGAGTCCTACAGGGTAGCAGAAAACTGCCATTTTTACTAATAGAGCCTGTCTGTCCTTTCAGAAGATTTAAGATTTAGTTTTCAAATACTGACTCCCATGAATGGCTTAACATTAAGACCATGCTGCCACCACAAAGAGATTACCTTCCTCCTTCCCACAAGCTCTGACGCTGCCTTATCTACAGCTATGAAACTGTAGAATAGCAAGACAAAGGTATTGCAGTAGAAGGCAACCATTCAAGTAAACTTCTAAACAATTCTACATTATTCCCATTCTCCAGGAATTAAACCACTTTCCCCTGTTGCTTCTAAAAACTACTTCAACTACAAGTATCAGAGTCCCACATGATCTTTTCAGCAGACTGTCAAAGATACCAGAAATCAAATGTAGACCATGAGAAAAATATATCCTGAATTTAATTGTGCCTAAGATAGCATTTCTGCTGAAGAAAGCTATTTTAACTGTTATTAACCCAGACTTATGGAGTGCATAGTTCAAGGTTGTCTTGCTAGCTGCTTACTCAAGGTAACCTTCCTTTGTAAATCAGGTAAAACCACCAGATTTTTACTTAATGGTTGCCTCACTCTATCCAAGGGCAGCAGGAAAAGCTAAGAGAGCATACTAAACTAGTAAGACCTGTCTTGTAATATAAACACAGAAGGCCAAAGAAAGGTACACGGTGCTGCAGTTCAGCTTGCTATTAAGTTATCACTGGAGTGTCCTATAACACAATCATTCTACTTATTACAGCTGAACACGCCTTTTCTGCTAATTTTTGGGCAAAATTTAGATGTAGACATAACAAAAGCCAATGAAACTGTGCTAGTTAGAAATTTCTTTAAGCTACATAGTTGTACCTCTAATACCACGTGGTATCTTTCCACCACATACTATGCTAGTAGAAACACAACTAATTTTATTCTTCCAGTCCTAGTTCTTAACTTCCATTAAATAAAACAGTGGGAGAAGTCTTAATTTCTTTAGCCTTATCCCTTGTCCAGAACCTGTATAAAGCTAGACAGCATACATTAATGCAGTCAACCTATTTGATTTTATTATAATGCAGTGCTAGTTTATATACCAAAACACAAGGCAACAGTGAAGTTACTGATATCTAACTCAATATGCCCTATGTTCAAATACAGTGCAACCTAAATAATTCACAAAGACAAAGCATAAATAAATTAGAAGACCATCTGGAAAATTGAAAGGTACCAATTAACCATGACTCTTCTTTACTGTTCAACTGACAATTATATATTCCAGCTAGTTTTTCTGCCTCTGAGAAAACTTTCTCCTTTGCTGTCAAGAATACTAAATTTTAAGATACTGATATCAGAAATTAACTCACTTAGAGCACAGATATCCATTAACAGTTCTACAGAATCAAACAGAACAAAGACTACACCTCTATTTTGGTCACAAGTTCACAACTAAACCTTTACTGAAATTAAGAAGTTATTACCTTTGCTCTGTAGATGTATCCAAGAACCACCACCACAACCTCAGTGATAAAAACCACAAGCAGGATGATCACAAACTGTCAAATAAAATCAAGAGTGTTTGTGCAAATAGTTTTAGTAATTTCCTTGCTGAAAGTCCCACATACATTTTACTAAATTTTTTCAACTGAAATTTTGATTTAAAAGATAACTTAAACCATGCAATTAAGTTGACAAAATGAGACCAGAATTGACTTGATTCAAGGAACTTCAGTGTTCATAGCTTCATCAAGTAATAAAAAAGCTCCTCAGCCAGGCAAGTGCTGATCATTAGGTCTGAAAAAAACATACTGAAGTATTTTAATTGTTTCTTTCACTCTTCTTTCTGTTAGATAATTAGAAACATTATACCAAAGAAGCTATCCAGGCTATTACTAGGAGTATTACATGGACTAACAGAATGTTTCTTTAGATTAAGCCATCACAACTGACAGAGACAACAAGCTATGCATTGTTTTTTGCACATTTAAGAGCACTTTTAAACTAAAACTGTTGAAGAAGCCTGCACAGCATTCAACAAAAAAACAAACCAAAACAGAAAAGTGGGGACCATTTAAAAACTGGCCCCTCCCCTCTGTCCTACCTAATCCAAGCTGAAATTACAGTTAAAATGCTTAGAAACACATGGCATAGAGTACTGCACACAAGGTATCCAAATTAAGCAGAAAAATATGTAGGCATCATAACAACCCACAGGTAAACGTAATGCAAGTTACTTAACACAAGGCGGCCCTGGGCTCATCTTTCTGTGTCAATTTCAGCTCTTCACACAGAACAGATTTAAAAACTTGATCATATGGTTTTACTTTGAGTTTACAAAAAAACCCAAAACCAACCAACCAAAAAAAACAAACCCACAAAAAAGGTAAAACTAAGGAGCCTGCTGCTGCCAGAACTGGATAATTTAGCACTATTATTCAGAACAGAAAATTGAAATAAGATGTTAATAACAAGACAGTAAGGGAAAACACTTAAGACCATAATATAAGATTAGAACAAACCTCAAAAAAATATTTTAAAAGTTTTAAGAGGGAAGGTGGCCAAATATACAACAGCCAAACACCATCATATAAAAAGATTCTGCAACTTACTGTAGCAAGTCCACAGCGACTTTCTCGAATTGTGGCACAACACCCAATAAGTCCAATAATAAACAGAAGTGTTCCCACTGCTATGATAATAACTGCCGGAATTAGTGTGTAGACGTCTTCAAAAAAGTGATCATAGTCATCATATGTGATGAACACATAGGCTCCCACGTAGCACAGTATGCCTGCTGCTGCCTGCAATGGACAGAGTAACAGGGTAAGTTTTTTTTAAACAAATCCTCCTTTCAGCCAGGGTACTTTGCAACACTTTATCAACCATTAAAAAGCCTTCCTCAGATATTAGGTTATTTTAAAAGATTCAACACTTTTTCTAGGTTATCTAGCCAGTAGTTTTAAACTACATTTAATCTAGACATCTAATTTTGACTACACTATGGAAGTCTTCTGGTTCATGTAGTCAAGAAATGAAAGTGAAGACACTAGGAACACTAAAGTCTTGCTCCCTGGTTCTCCAACACTTTCTTCCCATGCTGTGAACTAGACTTTCTACATAATCTAACATGTACAAACAGTCTCCTACTTTCAAGTAAAAAATTCCAGCCCATTATTTGCTATTCAACAGCTTTTCAAAACATGCATACAGTTACTTTATCTGCCACTATTTACGTACTACTTACTCTTCCTATGAAGATTAGTACCTATGATTTAATGTTAGAACAGAAAAGATACACTGTGTACTTTTACATCTGTTTGGGAAATACGAACTGGTAGAATTTACAGTTACTCTGAAGTGTCCACAGCACTGGAAAAAATCTGTTCTAAACAACAAAGCAGATAGAAAAAAGATAAAACACCAATCATTAAAAGACAGACCTAATATTTGTGCTACAAAACTCACCACTTTTAAGAGCCACTTTTATTTTTAAGAGAAGTTTCCTGAAGGGTCATTGAACAAAATGACCTTTATTAAACAAAAAAAATAAAGTTGCTGCAAATAAAATTTGTACTATGGATCTGCCACTACAGATTTAAAACACTTAAGACAACACTTAAGACACTTGTATGACTTTACCTCCCTTACAGTTACAGGGGTCCCAACACATCAATACCTTCATTCATTTTAAGCTACTATGTGCTAGAAGCACTGCAATATCATTGCAGCTATTTCCTATAAAACAATACTGCATAAACACTACTAGAGTAGTACTTTACATATGGAATATCCCCTGCAGCACTTTGTTACAGAAACATTATGACAAAGAAAAAGGTCCTAAGAGCCAGCTCAAACGTATCATCAGTTCTGCATTCATCTGAGCAATATATTTCACCTCACTGCCTCTCTTTCTGCAATGAAGGTAAGTGTGTACTCTGCAGGAATTGTTAAAGTATCCATGAGGCTCACATTCATCCAAAAAAGGTGCTGTGTAGAAACTATGTAGTGAAACTGAAAACTCAGTAACAAAGACCAACAGCAAGACATCTCCTTCAGACAAGAAAATCTGAAGGGAACAAGCTATTACAAAATCACCCCTTTGCAAAAAAGACGTTGAAATGCTAATCCAGCTATACAAATCCTGCCACGTGAGGAACAACATGGCAAAATGCAGACATACAATTTTTGTACACAAAGCAAAGATTCCAAGTGGTGTCACTGAACAATGGAATTACATTAAGTGTTGCCTAGCAATGAAGCATGTGAATGACAGGACAGTGATGTAATCTATTTCTAAGAACTAAAATGCTTGTTGGAAATATAGTATATTGCAAGGTTGCAGATGAAAAACACAGCTGCAGCTGGCATCGGGCACAGAAAGCATATCACAACACTCAAATCAAAATAATTTGAAAATCCCTTTGTCCTTCTCTGTCATGTGAAATTTAAATGGCTTCCTTCTTTTCTAAGAAAAATTTGGTTCATAAATTGAGTAAAGCAGAAGATGACTGCATTTACTCCGTTAACTGCTGAAGTTCAGTGTTCAGCTGATGGGACCAGACTAGTCTGAGGTCCTTCCTCCCTCCCCGCAACTCAGCAGTTTCAACATTTGGTCCTCAGCATAACTGGGTTTTGTTCCACCTACATAGTATCACATTATACATTACTGTAATTAAAGGATAAATTCTGTGACAACAGATAAAAATGAAGAGCTATTATGACCTATACGAAGTATACAATGTACATTGATCAAGTTAAATGTGCTGCACAAGTTAAATGTGCATTTATTACCTGTTGAAACCTAAGAACAAACCCCAGAACATACTATGTATGTATGCATTTCCTATCACTAAATGGAAGCCAAATATATCAACTGTGCACAGTTCAAGTAAGTCTTTGACAAACAGGGCTTGGAGGAAGAAGTCTCAAACTTAATCTGCTCAAGGCTCTGAATAGAGATGGCAGAAGCTCCTGAATCTGTGCCAGGTCACAAGCATGCTCTACAGAGATGACTGGTTATTCAGCATTCACCTATCCTTTTAGAGCTATTTGCATCTAACTATGCTTATTTCAGGATGAATTAACCTTTAAAAAGACTGCCAAGACAAGTACAGTCAATGAAGAGGGTTGAAAAAGGCTTGAACAATTAGGCAATCTTTTTAATGAGAGGAAAAATTTAAAAATACACAGTTTTTATTGTTCAGAAGCAGCCTGATACTATTGCTTTGGCATGGGCCTCTAAGGAGTTACTAAAAGTCAAACAAGTACACAAGGAACTCGAGTTTAAACAAGAAGATCTAATGACATCATGATGCATTATTGATGAATAAACATTATTCAAACCATTATAGGAAAGCATATTTAAGGTTTGGGGTTCTTAAACTTCCCCCCAACCCCCATCTTTGGGCTAGTAAAATACAGCCTCTGTAGCCCATTGCTTAGGGTTTTTTGTTTGCTTCTACAAAAACCATACACTCAATGAGACTGAGGGTCTACAGCTGAATCCATTTCATTCTGTTACTGTTACAACTGTTATTTGTTTCCTTGTGTACCAATGCCTGAAAATATCCCACTCATTAACAGGGACACTGGTATTATGGTTTGCCACCCAGTTTTCAGGCTTCTTGGAAAAGTATCTTCAGAAGTGTTTTATTCACACATCATCTTCATAATTTTCCTTGTATTGTATTTCTCTGATGTTTTCGGTTCTCTCCATTGGTACAGCATTCATAGCCTGATTACTGTCAGAAGATACATTTCCTGGTTTTCCTTTAGCGTTCTGTCCTTCAAAATCTAGTTCTTCAGTTTTAACTTCAAAAGCCCTACAGGGTCTCTGCTATTCATTTCTTATAATTTTTTTTCAGCATTTTGTTATTCTATCTTCCTCTCCATTCCCCTCAAAAACAAATACAATCCCATACTTGAAGTTATTTTCTCTACTTCAGAACCCAATGACACTCTTCTACTTTGTTCTCATCAATAATAATTTAACTGGAACATTGACCTATAACTACCTTACAAAATCCTTTGGGTGAAGAGAATCAGCAACTCCACTACATTTTGTAACATATTGTTAGAAATATTTTAAAGGCTTACCAAACAAAGCCATGCAGAACTCAAGTAAGCCTAACTACTTTGTCTACAGTAGCCAAATTCAAGCCTGTAACACTTCCAAGTAAAAAACCCAAATTCAGCCAGGCTGCTTCTGCATTCAGCCTTACATATTTTAAGTATCATTAACTGCAAAAGGCAGTGCACTCAGACTTTTTTTTTACCTAGGAGAGATGTTAACAATATAGTTTGTAACTTAATTTGGTGCTCCACTGTTTCCAGACTCCTTGCTTTGCACAAGAACATCAACTACTCCATGCTATGAAGTTTCACCAGGTAAAGAGATACTTCAAATTCCATTAACTACTCAAAAGGTATCACATTTGCCTTTGCAAGTTGCTTTTAACCTGCTATGTATTAGCTCTACTTTTACACCAGAAGCCAGATGCAAAAAAACCCTGAAAAATCACAGGTAAAAACCTGAAACTCATCCTGTAAAAAAACATTACTTAAGAGCAAACTGAATCCTCTCTAAAAAAAAAAAAATCGGGGCCTGGCCCATGTTTGCTACCTGAAAATTTATGTCCAAATAGTGTCAGAAAAATCACTCAGAAAGGGCACAACACTTCCAGAGTTTTAAACCCTAATTTTGGATAAAAAAGTTATTTCTTTAAAGTACAAAAATCAAAACCATTACACATTCCTGCAAACACACTTTACTTCACTACTGTGGCAGCAGAAGCACAAAACATTCTATTTCCACATCCAGAAGTGACTGTCCTTCAAGAAAAAAATGATTCAGTCAATTAATCCCCGATAGGCAGCCCTGGGGATCATCTGTCAATTATAGTCTTTGATCAACAGAAAACTCAAGAAGTTCCTTCATTACCCCAGCTTTTAAAGTTCGGATCAAAACCAATTCTCAATCTCTCAGTAAAACAGAAAAAATCCTTATTCCTACATGTAAGAGAAAGTGAGCTCTACTTTTCTACTTTTCCTTTCTACTGCTAAATTTCACTGAATTTTCCTTTTGCTGCATTTCCTCTCTTCTTTCCTAGCAACAAAGAAAAATACACTACACACACATTGACAGCTACAGGTCCTTTTAAGGATAGCATGTAATTCCTCTAAGATAATACTACATAATTCCTAATACTATGGTTACTGTATTGAGAATGTATAACATTAAAAGTGGGCACAGAATTGTAGGAAGCACTCCTGCTGTACTGAACTGGTGAAATTGAAAATTCTCTAAACTTGAAGTTTCTCTAAACAATTATACCAAATAATGTTTTATAACAGCTTAGTCAAATGAACTGTAAAAGAAAGGATTTCAAGTCAGTTAAATAATTGCAAAAGCAACTTAAAAAGTTGAGTTGAAAATATCCCAGCAGTGGATTTCATTCCTCTTCTCAAGGAGTAAGAACCTAGGGATGAAGAAAAAAAACCTGAAAGCAAGCAGTGGGTATTAGGTAGTGTTTTACCAGAGCAGGCTGTCAAAACACATATGTTGTCTGGATATATAAAACAGACTCTTTTCCAAGGCAAGACTAAAAGCATCACCAAGTATTTTATCAGTCTACCGATGCCCTTACCTTAAGCCTGAAAACACTTCCTTACCAGTTTTGTCTTCATCTCCTTTCTTCAAATTGCTTTCAGCTGAATTAAGCAAGTCACCTGATGAACCCTTCATTTAAGAGGTGACAAAAACACATTTGACAGTAGTTTTCAACAGTTGTTCCAGATATATTTATTTCTTCCCCTTTCAAATCAATGCAGACAATCAACTGCCATGTTAACTTCTGAATTTTTTATATATACATTTATGTTTAAGACTACAGGTTAATGTTTGCTTGTTGTAACAGTCATTCTAATCCTTCTGCACTGAAAAAACCCCAACCCACTACAACCTAAATCCTCAGACTGATCAATGCCCAGATTTCCACTCCACCAAAAATATTTCTGAGAATATGTCCATTACAAGTTCCATTATTTTATTTCTAAGGAGGTTTGTCTTTCTCATCACAATTCTGGTTGGACTCAGTGATTTTTAAGGTCTTTCTCAACACAGATAATTCTGTACCTACTTCCTCCACAATACGTTTTCTTACAGAAAAGGACTTGGCAGCACCTAAATGAAAATGAAGTCACTAGTTGATCAAATAGATCTTGTGCAAACTTAACACAAGGTAAAGTGAAGGATTGCTTTTCCTTTGCCATTTATCTACTCCAAGACTGATTCATAACAAACCACTAAGAAACGTATTAATCTCATCTGTATTCCTCTAATTTTTACAAGAAGGGCAAGTTTTAACTTATGCTTATATAAGATGCATTTCTTTGTAAAATACCTTTGAGCTTAAGCACCCTTTTCCAAGGGTGCCAAAATTTAAACAAGTATTTCATGCAAGATCTGTACCATGCAACTCTGGATGACCACTCAGGATGCTGTTTCCCTGCAGTACTTTGTTTTTAAGGCAACAATTCTGGCTACAGTAGATGTGCTTGATACTTGACACTCCTGCAAATACAACTCAACTAAACCATCAAAGTACCACACCAAACCCTTGGAAAAGTTCATAAAGCCCATCCAGCTTCTATACTACAACTAGCACCTGCCCTGCTGTGAGAGGAAGTTTCTGCAGCTCATTTTCTTAAAAAAAAATATTAAATATCCTGTAGTAATTAACAGGTAGGAATGCACAGTAAATATAAGAACAGGACGTAAGTTTTCAGAAGACTATACAGAAACAATATTACTTTCTTAATAGTGTCAAGTAGAAAATCTAATAGGTAGCACAAGACTTTTCAAAAGGAGATTAAATCATAGTCACTAGCAAACTGAGTGGAGTTTGAGTTATTAAAGTCAGCAGTCATAAGAGATGAATGAGTAGGTATGTCTGACCTGT